TCGCTGTCAACATTCAAATCTGCAAAAAGTTCCACCGCCGGAACTTTCGACCCCAGGGGGTTAAAATGAGGTAATAATTTGCAATTTAATGAACACAGTTTAGAAACTAAGAGGGCGATTACAAATGTTTAGTGTGCAAAAAAACGTTCAGTAGCTTTCATTACAATACAGCACCATTTTTCTTTTAGTGCAAGTGTTTAACACTTAACCTTCAGTACAATAAAAATCAATACATGCACCATTATGTCTATTTGTTTGCTGGAGTAATGGCAGTGGCTAGAGTGAAAATGCCGCCAAACAGTCAAGCTACTTATCTTAAAACCTTGAGTTTCTTTGCAGCATAAGCCAGAGGCCGTAACTGATGATGGCCCAGGTTTGTAATTTGGCTATGAGTGATGCCTTCATTTATCTCAGAAACAATAGCACATCATTTTAGCATGTGACTTTAGCACTATTTTCTCATCTAAATACCGTGCTGCACGGACAGCTCCATCTCTCCGTCTCTGTCTTTCTCTCTTTTTTTCTTTCTTTCTTTCCTCCTCCTTTTCTCAGCGAAGCGGCTGATATCTCCAAGGCTATTTACTGTCGGTTCCCTACAGATCTGCCATCAGTTAGAATCCCACTCAGTGTCAGATTCTGCAGACCTTAGGATCTCAGCTGGCAAATTTCTCTGTGGTGCATTACACACACATGTCCTTGGATACAAAATAGAAAATCTCACTGTCAGTGATTCTGGTCTCAACCTTACACAGTCAGGCCCAAAAAGTCTGAGAGTGCATCTGAAAATCTGGGATTAAAAATCAAGTTTAAGACTGAATAGAAACTTAAAACTTTTGCAGTTCATGCATCTCAAGTGCTGCTTTTGTTAAAGAAAAACAGAAGCAAACCAATGACATTGTGATTTTTTTTTTCAGTTGAGTTTTTCTTTAAAATTATGATCATATGTGTAATTTAAACACAAATTGTATTTAATTACATTAATATATTTTGTCATTTAAAAGCATAAACAAATAAGTTGAATTTGTATTAAAAACATTATTTTTGAAAATTACAAAGAATCTAATTTATTAATTAATAAAAAACTATTAGACTAGTTTTACTATTAGAAACATATAATATTATTATATATACATTTTTAGAAAACTACTAAATTATATTCAATAGTTACAAATCATATCATCCATTATTTAAAAAAACTATTAAATTATATTTCATAATTACAAATTAATATAATTTCTCATTTAAAAAGCTGTTAAATTATATTCAGTAATAACAAATTTATAATACAATTTATAATAAAAAAATGTTTGATAGTAACAAATTAATATAACTTATGATTTAAATACTGTTCAAAGATATTCATTTGTTACAAATAATGTTGTTTATACATTTTAGTATTTTAGATGATATTTAATAGCCTAATTTATTCATTACAATTTAGTGACTTAAATGTTTTGTGTTTTTTTTACACAAATTAATATAATTTGCCATTTTAAAATTAAATTAAGAAATATGAAATAGAACAGAAATAAAAACAAAGAGAAGCATTTTTTTACCAGTGGTCTCAGACTTTTGGACCCCGCTGTTTATGAGCACCCCACGCTGTTCAGTTGACCATTTGTGTCTCAACTGCTTCTTGCCATGCTAGAATGCTGTATGTCAGTGTAATTACATGTATTTGCAGAGGCGTTAACCACCCACTACGCAGACCCATCAGGGAGTCGTTCCTAATTGCCCACCCCCTAACTTTTAATAAGCACCGGTGACCGCTAGACAGTTTACGACAGCTCTGGGGAATTGCATAAAAGCCACACTCTTAATCCACAAGAGCTATTAATTTTCTTGATTGTGCAGGATATAATGCCACCCATCTCGCTCGGCAGATGTACCGCTGATCCTATTGTCTAACACATGACAGAAGCTGGGCTGGGAAAGTTCAGTGCATATGCATAAGCGCTGCCTTTCTTAATCGCAATTTATCTTCTTCGCTTTGCATGGGATCTTAACAACCAGCAAGCATAGCGAAGTCAAAATCCAATTCCAGAATACGACTTTATACTTTCCTAAAAAATCAATGTAGTCAGTCATTTCTTGGTTAAAGTCACTGAATGCAGCACGGTTTGTTTACCTGAGGGTCTAGCATGCACTGACACCTGTGTTCCCTTGCCATTAGCCATCAGAGCCAGGCGCCCCACTTTGAGGTGTGAGTAGATTATGAAGTAGTCTGTTACCTTTGAGAGGGCTGTGTGCTCTGGTGCTGGAGAGATTATAGGTCGACCCATGTAGCGCTGTCGCCTGCTCAGAATGGATAAATGGCTGTGGCTCACAGGGACTGTCACAGATGGATCTCGCGCAAGGTCAGAGGTACAAACACAGAGGTCACGGTGCAGACAGATACTCTGTGGCAAAAACACTCTGTTTGATAAGATAAATGTTCTTTGACACAATGATCATTACTGTCATCACATTCTGCACTCGTTAACAAAGATAGAAAAACTGTGTCATCAGCATATTCTATTACAGTAATACAGTAATAGTTGTGAATGGCATGGATAACTATGATGTGAAAATCCATTTTGCTCTCTGAGCTATTCTTTTGAAATAGTTCAGGTGGTATGGATTTAATAATAGATTGAAACATTTGTTGAAATGATAATCTCTGAAATCGAAAACCCTGTCAGGGTTTATTGAAGAACATCGAATTCCCATGATTTCCCAGGAGTTTAAGCTGTTTATTCTTGTTTTAGGAGATTTGCTGCGTTCTGGACGTATCTCTGGATTGACCGTAAATGGAGGCTGGTCCGTCTGGGGGTCTTGGAGCCAATGTAGTCGGGACTGCAGCTCGGGGGTCCGAAACCGCAAACGCACCTGCTCCAACCCCAAACCCAAATATGGAGGAGTCACCTGCCTGGGGCCTGCCCAGGAGTTTCAGGAGTGCAATACTACACCATGTCCAGGTTAGCAGTCCTCATACATAAACCTTTTCCAACTTTTTCCATTCATATTTTTGTGACTTACACATCTTCTCCAGACACTGATTTTCCCACTGTTTTCCCCATTCTGAAATTAAATTATATGTATAAATCGAATTTATTATTTTAAGTTTTGTTTGCAATGTAAAAAATTGTTTTTGTTCTAGAAAAATATCTTTTGCTCAAATAGGCTGCATTTATTTGATAAAAAAAATAAAGTAATACAGTATAAATACAGTAAAATAATAAAATAAGGTGAAATACAGATAAGGAACAGATAAGTGAAATATTATTATATTTTTAAATAACTGTTTTCTATTTTAATGTATTTTAAAATGTAAGTTATTCCTGTGATTTTATAACTGAATTTTCAGCAGCCATTACTCCAGTCTTCAGTGTCACATGATCTTTCAGAAGTCATTCTAATATGCTGAATTTTTGTCTAAACTCTTTTTTTTTCAAGAATATTTGATGAATAGAATAAAGTTCAGCATGAACAGCACTTGTTAGAAATATTCATATTTTGTAACACTATAAAGTCTTTACTGACACTTTTGATCAATTTAATGCATCCTTGCTGAATAAAATATATATATATTTTTTTTTTATCTGTTGAACATTGATGTATATTTGTCACCTTCAAAGACTTCACCAATTAACCAAAAGTAAATTAAATGATTTTATTTATAAATATCATATATTTAAATTGATAACTAAACATTTTATTCATTATGTATGTAAAAACATTTCATCAAAGCCAGCTTGTGATGAATTCATTTTCTTTAGATGTTAAAATCAATTCTTAAACTACAGTTATAAACAACAGAAATGTGCTGTTTGTTTGTGTACCAGTTACATCGTAGTTTGGCTTAATGAAAAATCTTCTGAAAGAGGAGAACATATCCTCCAGTCGAGCACCAGCACTTATTTGGTGGAAAAAAGAACACTGCGTTTACTTAAAAAAAAAAAAAACATCATACAACACAAATAGAATTCAGACTTATCCATTCTTTCTTCAAATGTTTATATGGAAGCAATCATAAAAACTGACCTTTTTCAGTTTGTTGTGTGCAAGGAATAAAGAAGGATTCCAGACATCAACAAGTGATAAAAGTAAGACACAACCCACATTTGCGCGTGGTATTTGTACGAGTAGAAGCCTCCCTGTTTTAAGATGCGAGGACCTCAATTTGCCGGTGGAAATGGAGAGAAATCTCAGTGGCATCGTTGTGTGTAATCACATTTCAAGCTAATTACACCGGCAGTGACGGGAAAGCAGGATTCAGTCATTAAAAGGCTTGTGACAATGGCGTACACCCTCTCTAAAGTTGAAGGAGGGGAAAAAGCTCTCTAATTAAATGAGCGCTCATCGTTATGTGTGCTGGAAATATGCTGTCTAAATGGAAATGCGTATTGCGTAGGTATTTTATGATACCTAACGGTGAACAAGACACAATCAGGCAATGCGGAATTTGTTTTGCAATCATAATTAATCAATAGCCTGTTTTTGGAGCCTGAAACCATCAAAGCAGGGCGTACTGTAGTTTATAGCTCTTCATGATATGCTGGAAAGCTACTTGCTCCTGCTTAATTTTACAGCAGCTGTTTTCTAACAGGAAATCACATATTTCCTGTAAAGTGACAGTAGCAAGACCAACGGGACTGCTTCATTAACAAAGACCTCCAGAGGTTTTAAGACCTGATTAGACTTATTGATGTTTTTCTCCGCAGGAGTAATTGCTAACAGATCAGGAATCGCAGCACAAATTTTATAAAAGCGGCGGATGACAGATTGTACAGCAAACTATGTGAGCGCACTGTCGATCAGTAACTGTGCTGTGCACTTCACTAAGTTAATTCAGTCCTTGTCTACTTCCAATGAAACGTCTTAGTAGCGCTTAGATTCAATAGCCCCTTTGTACAGGCGACGACAGAATAATACAGCTTTCATCAAGCGTATCCCAGCAGGAAGCTTGGAAAAGAACACATCAAATTGCTCTACACCTCCATAAGCGTCTCTGAACCGGAGCTTGTCTGTGACCAATATTCTGACTGTGTCTTTTATTGGTTCCTTCTTGCCGAGCTAAATCATTATACGTTCAAAGTCAGACCTTTGAAATGCATTATTTTGTTTTGAGAGAGGCAGACGGAGGTCTCACGGTTGCAGTTGTGGAGGCTCTGAAATGAATTAATCTTTTTTTTGTTGCATGCCACAAGGGTGAAATGAGATGATCAGTTACGCCGGGGCAGACATGAGCTGATTTGTCATTTTTCGCAATAGAGAAGTTATAACAGATGATAAAATGCAATATTTGGTTTACTTATGTCTTTTATATAAAAAGTCACCTTTTCTGTTTTTTTCTCCAACAGTGTGAGATACAGTCAACAACACATATAGTTATAAAACCTTTACTAGTAACTATCCTGAGCTGTGACTTAAAAGGCAACAGACAGGAAAAGGTGCATTTGAGCTTCCCAATCAAAATTGGGCACTAGTTTTAACAATCTTTTATACTGCTAGAATGAAATACACTAGAACAATTGGAGTAGGATTTACTTTGAAGCAATTTTCTCTCAGAAATTGCTAGTAAATTTCACAAATAATTACAAAGAAACAGTAAGTAACACATTTAATTAAATGGGATTTTTTTTAAAGTAGAAAGACTGAAATAGTAATTTCTTGAAAAATGTACTCTCCAAACTTTACTTTTTGTTGCATTTACAACTTTTGCATTTGTTCAATTAATATGGATTATTTTTACAATTCCTTTATGACCTTTTTGTATCTTCTGAGTTTTGGTTACCTGGATTTTCAGTGTAGGGACAAAAACCTCTCAGATTTCATTAAAATATCATAATTTGTGTTTCGAAGATTAGCCAAAGTCTTATGGGTTTGGAAAGACATGAGGGTGAGAAAATGATGACAGAATTTTCCTTTTTTGGTGAACTAACCTTTAAGACATTTTACCACAAAATTGGAATAATATGCAAACTTTATAAAATGTAAAAAAATTTTAAAAAAAAACTAATTTCCTAGACGATAATGTCATTTGCTGAACTAAATATGCTGAGATCATAGCACAAATGCTGTTTTTAAGTATTTTTTAATGTTAAATATTTGTAGCATACCGTATACCGTTTAGCATACAGTTTTTTAATAGCAGCCAATATACTGTGCACTATACAGTAATCAGTATGCTAATATTTCATACTAAACGCAGCCTAAATCTACTAAAGTCAGTGACTCTCACCCCTCTTCCACAAACCTGTCAGACGACTAATGCTAATGTAAAATGAGACTCAGTATGCTTGTTTTCCTTTAATTAGTTCCAAGACAGTCGTAGTGTTTTGTGAGTTGTTCTCTGTTCCCCCAGTTGTCGCGGGTGATGACCCTGAGCTTGGCACTCGCTGAAGAGGGGAGGGAGTGAATTGATGGTTCGTTTAGCCTCATTAATTAGAGCAGGGGTCAGAGTGAGAGCGCGAGGGAGAAGCAGAGCTCCAGAGCAGATTGTGTGAACAGCCTCTCTTCTCATCGACCCCCAGATTCCCAGCAGTCTTAGCATCTGGATTTAGCTGGTTTTAACACTAAATTATTTCATTGTAGTGATCGTATCAGTGACGTCATTCATTCAGATTGTGGTACTAGATGAATAAATGTTTTGGATCTATTTAAATGAAATGCATATTCACTTGTTAGCAGGCCATCGTTCTTTTAAGAGATTTATATGTAAATGAGCTGTGCTATGATTGGCTATCCTCTTCAAATGTGAAATGAGTCCCAACCCCACCAAATTTCTGAATATTTAATAGGAGCTGTTATCTAAATCATAATAGTTTTGATATTACAAATGTGATGCCTTCTGAATGACCTGTTTTTGCAGATCATTTTCTACAAATGGTTGTCTTATGGAAGTGTACATAATAAATTGAACTCTTTTATTTGTAATATTTTATTTATTTTAAATCCTGTTTCCATGATATGTCCCATTTAAATTTAATGACACTAAATATGCTCAGTCTGAATCACTCCTCTTTGCTGAGAAACAGCGAGAAAAGTGTAGAGAAAAAATGTCATGTAACACATTTGCCTTTATTGATATAAACTAATGTTACGCATTTAGAGTGGCAATCACACTTGAAATTATTCAGATATAATTATTCTATTTACTTTGAAATGACAGATGCTCTTCCCAAAATTATTCATGACACAAGCGCAGTAGGGTTTAGCTTGTTTTGACACCAGATGATTTCATTGTAATGATCTTATCAGAGGTAACTATGGTGAAGTCGTTCATTTATATTGTGGTACTAGATGAATAAAGTTCCTGGATCTGTTTAAATGAAATGGAGCTCATTCACTTTTCTCCCTTAAACCCAAAACACACTGCATGATTTTCGGCTGTCCCAGACAAAAGATTGGCATCGTGAAACAATCGTGGCGATTTCTGTGATCGTGGCTCCTAATCGGTGGTCCTGTGTTGTACAGTGAGAGTCAAAGATGGCCGTTGTCACGGTCTTGCGACAAAAGATAACCTACGATCATATTCTGACAGTGTCAGAAATACAGCATGATCATCACACAGTGTGGTTTTTTTTTTCAATAGACAATTTAGTTTTATGTGACTGTTTTCTACCCTCTCTCATCCTTTTAACAGGCCAATGTTCTTTTTAAGAGTTTTATATGTAAATGAGTTGTGCTATGATTGGCTAACCTCCTAAAATGATAAATGAGTCACAAACCCACCAAATTGCAGAATACTGAATATGTTCTGATATCTAAATCTTTATAGTTCTGATATTACAAATGTGATGCCTTCTGAATTACCTCTTTTTGAAGATCATTTTGTGTTATTATGGGGCTACTGTATGTGTTTGTATTAAAATGAACTCTTTTATTTTTATTGTTTTATTTATTTTAAATCATGTTTTCCATGATATTTCCCATTTAAATGTAATGGCACTAAACATGTTTATCTGAATGACTCCTCTTTGCTGAGCTACAGTGTGAAAAGTGTAGAGAACAAACGCATTTGCCTTTATCGATATGAACTGTTGTTACACATTTATAGCTGCTCAAAAATATTCCGAAAAATATTTTCACTATTTACTGAAAGAAATGTAGGATGCTAGTCCCAAAGTTATTCATGACACAAGCACAGTAGTAATTTTAGTATGCTCTTTTCCTTATCTTTCAGTGGATGGGAGCTGGTCGTGCTGGTCACCTTGGTCTAAATGCTCAGTGACATGCGGAGGAGGCCACTACATGCGCACACGCACCTGTAACAACCCTCCACCTGCCTACGGAGGTGACATCTGCCTGGGTTTGCATACTGAAGAGGCCCTCTGCAACATCCAACCCTGCCCTGGTACACACACACACTTTATCACGTGCATGAACTCAACCTACGTGAACTCGCACACACTCACACCTTGAATCCGACAGGAAATTACATTACTTTTTTCGGATATGGAAGCCTTTGTCTTGTACCTGCTTTCCTTTCGTCATGTCTCACGCATAAAGCGGCCCGTGGGGGAATGAAAGCAGAGGAAATCAAAATGTCACACTTCATAGAAAAGCAAATGGTAAAGCCAAGTTTGCGATATGAAGATAATATGCATAAGCTCGCAGCAGGGAGTGCAAAAGTGGAGGGCAAGATAAGGCGATTGATGACAGAGTCAAACCTCGCACATTGATCCACGGAAAGGTGAATGGGAGAAGAGAGCTTGTATTCAAATGTCAGTCCATCCATTAGCCAGAACTGTAGTGAGGTTACCGAGTGACCTTTTATTAGCTGCGTTCAGGTCTATCTGTCACACCATTCATTACACGAGCGCATGTGTAGCTGTACAGTGCAGCCGGGAGACAGAGGACGGGATAAGTGAGGGGAATGCTAATCAGAAGACACTGTGAGGAAGTTCTCCTAAACTGGATTCCAAGCTTTTTAGGTTCCATTGTAGAGTATAGTTTAAATTAGCTTGGAGGCCAAATAGATAATCAGTTCACCCGTAAGATAACCACATAACACAATTTCAAGCCTTGCCTGCTGGAAAATAAAAGTTTAATCTGCCAAGAAGGTCTAGCTTCTTTGTTTTAAAGCCTCGTTATACTTCAAGCAAATCAAAAATGAACTGATATGACGATTTTGAACAAAATCAGGCCAAAATTAAGTTCGTTCAAGGTCAAAACAGCTTGCCAAACTTTACAGAAAAGTTTGCACGGGTTGGTAAACACCTTTGAACTACCATTGGTCTTTGGCGATTAGGAGGGTGTGGATCTGGGGCTCCGCCTTCTTTGACATGGAAAACCTCTCTGGTTTATTTCTTCTGTTAAGTATGGGTCAGACACGAGGAACAACATGAACACAGTGGAGATCTGCTTTATAGTAGAAATTGAAGTTGTAATTCTAATTGAAAGCAACACTGACACATTTTTTCAAGTTTAAAGGGTCATGAAACCCTAAAACATAGTTTTTGAAATCTTAACAGATATGTATGGATAGCACATCAGATAAAACCATATTAGCACTCATTATGTTTATTATTAAGGGCAAGTGGTTTTTCGTTTTTCAGAGACACTTCTTTCTTCCAGTTTAAAAAGCAAAGTTGATATAATGTAACAAAATGTAAGTTACATGCATCACTGTCATCAGATGCTTTCTTAACTGCTGTTTTCTCACCATTTTGTATGTTTGTTATTGAGAGGAAGGCATGTAGCGCATATTTTTATATTCATCTAAACGGCGCTCATAGCAACACTGGCAGCACTGGGTTGTTCACTAACAGTGTTTAGGTGTTTTAAACTTCAGTAACACTTTAGAATAAGGAACACATATTCACTATTAACAAAGAGTTTTCCCTGAACAAACTCCTAATTTGCTGCTTATTAATAGTTAGTAAGGTAGTTGTTAAGTTTAGGTATTGGGAAGGTTTAAGGGATCTAGAATATGGTCATGAAGAATAAGGTGTTAATATGTGCTTTGTAAGTACTAATAAACAGCCAATATGCTAGTAATATGCATGCTAATAAGCAAGTAGTTAATAGTGAGAATTTGTCCTTAAAATAAAGTGTTACCTAAACTTCTTTTCACCCTGAACAACAAAAAAAAAGAACTTCACTGTGAATATCTCAGGGCCTTTAGAATGAATTTTGGGCAATTTTTGGGCTGGGAGACTAGATAGACCCTGGGCTGGTTTGAAGGGTCTTGAATTCTCCTATTTCAAAGCCAGTTAGTTTTCACAACAGTTTTGAAAAATGTTACAGAAGTGGGCGTGATAAGCTGCGGCATGCAGCGGAAAGAGGTGAGAAAGAAAACACAACAGTGGCTTCCGATCCAGTCAGTTTTATTGCACTCTCATTGAGTTAAAAGCATCAAAGGTTCCCACAAATGCACATTGCAGTTCACCACTGCACAAATCAAAATGAACAAATATATTATACATGTTTTTGTAAGCTCACAGTACATTACATAAATACACATATATCCAGTGATAGCTAGATTTTAATGTTCAAATAAAGGCACAGCCATTTGGATTTGCACTCTGCACTCTGAAAATATGAATGTTCTGTTGCATTTTTGATGAGTTTTGAGACTTATTTTGTGATGTTTATATAAGCCATTCGATCATTTATATCAAGAAGCTCTAAAGACCAGTTACATTCACGATGGATCAAGTTTGTGTCAGAGACTCGGGGTATATGGATGAGAATTTATGCCATGCAGAAACACTTACTAGATAGAGAGAGAGAGAGAGAGAGAGAGAGAGAGAGAAAGAACTTCACATTCCCTCCCCTCTACATCACTTTGCATCTGATTTGGGCTTGTTGTTGTCATGTACAGAGAGCTGGTCTGATTGGTCCGAATGGTCCCCCTGTGACTCATCAGGGTCTCAGGTTCGCCTGCGGCACTGTGACGTCCTGTTTCCCACCGGCAACCAGTGCTCAGGCAACAGCAGTGAAACTCGTGCCTGTCTACCCATCTCCAACTTCATCCCAGGTGGGCACAGAAACCCGCACACATATACACTCAAACACTTGCCATATCGACCCCTGGACAAACAAGTATCTTCCCTTATTGACAAGAAGTAATGCGAGACACACCAAACCATTGATTTCTGCAGTGCAGGGATAATTAGCCTCTCATCCTTTGCCCTGTCTAAGTGGCACGATCGAACAAATGCATTACGCTGATATGTTTCGTGTAGCATTTGCATTCATACATTCGATAGCTGATATACTTCCGCTCCACAAGTTTTACAAACTCAAACATGAGGGTGCTAATTGTAAGAAAGAACATTATATCCAAGTAACTGTACTTAGTTCTCTGATGATGAACTACAATGTACACAGTCACCTCATTTTTAATGTGCTCATCTTTAAAATGATGAGTTATGTGATCTGCCACTTTGTAGAGATAGAAATGGCTAAACGCATGATCGTCAGGGGAGTTATTACCTCGCTTACGGTGTAGCACAGGGAGTGGATTTTTAAGGCCATTCTGTAAATCTTGTGTAAATATTGTCTGGCCTGCAGAGCCCTCATGTCTTTCTCAGGGTAACATTCCATTACAGCTCGTTAGAAAAGTTTTATACCTCATTTACTTCCATTACTGATCATAAAAATGCGTCGCAGGTGCCACTTTCCTTATTCAGCTCTTTGAATTTTGCGATAATAGGTTGAGTTTGAAATTCACTTGCTGTAATGTTCTGAAACTTCTAAGGATCTCATTTATCAGCCTGATGGATTCAATTCCCTGTTCTTTTCTTGATTTTTTTCTGGTCTCCTCAGAAACGTCTGTTGCACGTTCAAGTCGGGAGGAACAATGGTGTGGAGGTAAGTAGTGTACAAGCAGCCTTATATCACTCTGCAGGGGCTTATTTTGCAATTATGACCGGCTAACTGTACATTATCCCCTTTATTACTCAGCTACTTTACAAATAAAAAAGTATATGGACATGAAATATTGATTTGAATCAAAATGATCCTATTATTCTAGCTTAAAGCTTAGCTTAGATCAGCTGAAATCCTCCTCTAATAAAAAGCCAAGTAATTTTTTTCTTAGCATTAGCTAGCTAACATATATACACTACTGTTCAATAGTTTAGAGTCAGTATTATTAATACTTTTATTCTGCAAGAATGAAATAAATTGATAAAAATTGACTATAAAGACATTTATATATATATACAAATGATTTATATTTAGAATAAATGCTATTCTTTTGAACTTTCTATTTATCAAAGAATCAAAAAGTATCACAGTTTCCAGAAAAATGTTAAGCAACGTAACTGTTTTCAGTGTTTATACAGCACCACATCAGGATATTTAATCATTATGTATTTGCCATCACAGGAATAAATTATAATATAAAATATATAAAAAATAGGAACAAATGTATTTTACTGTTTAAAGGACAAGAGCTTATAACACTCCAAAGAGAAAGGAAAACTTGAAATCGCATCATATGACCCCTTTAATAATATTTTACAATATTACTGTTTTGTATGATGTATTTTAGATCAAACAAATGTAGACTTGGTGAACATAGGTATGGAAGCTGGTTTCCGCCACTGCATAAAAAAAAGGTAATTGAGACTATTTCTGACTTTTTTCTTGCAATTGTGATTTTACATCTCCCAATTCTGACTTTTTTTATCAGAATTGGGAGATATAAACTCTCAGAATTTAAAGAGTTTCAGAATGATATAATCTTGCAATTGCGAAAAAAGTCAAAATTGCGAGATACAAACTCTCATTAGCGAGAAAAAGTCAGAATAGTTTATCTCACAATTTTGACTTTTTAACGCACAATTGTGAGTTTATATCTCGCAATTATGACTTTATAACTTTCAATTGTGAGTTTATAACACACAATTGTGAGAAAAGACTTTAATTCGCAATTAAGAGTTAAAATCTCACAATTCTGAGAAAAAATTGCGAGATGTAAACTCATAATTGCGAGAAAAAAGTCAGAATTTTGAGATAAAAAGTCGCAATTACCTTTTTTTAATTTTTATTCAGTGGCGGAATCGGCGTTCCATACATGATGACTTCTTACTGATAATCTTACAGTAGTACATTTAAAAAATAAGTCCTCTAAGGTCATTTTTTTAACAAGTGCAAAGTAGGGCTGCACGATAAATCGCATGCGATATTTAATGCGCATCTTGTCAGAAAGCCGGTTCTGTAATCAGCGGTAAATCTCCATCACCTGCGGGCTTTCACATTGAGCAGCATTAACTACACAGAGCCGTTGTTCACTGACGAGATGCGCAAAAAATCGCGCGAATATGAGCGAAGTGATACAACATACATGAAAAGTAGCAGTGATATGTTTCCATTGAACAACAGTGAAATATACAGTTCTTTTGTGTATTATACAAACACACCTGACTGTTCAAAGTCACAACTGACCAATAAGAACCCAGTATTCCAGAGAACAACATAATTCTAGTTATGCTATTTATCCAAAGTGCATCAAAACTGATGTTCAATACACTGATTACAAACACAATGTGCCTCAAAGCTTTTTTGGGACCTATTAAACAAATGTGCATTTGGAATGGCTTGTCACTGTAAAGTCCTTCCATTTATAGCAATTATTGGCCGTTCATGCAGACTCGCAGGGCAACAGCGATGCTGACTGTAATTTACTGTAGTGTTTAATTGGCTCAGGTAATGGATAATTGATATCCTCTGGATCAATGCTCAAATCCCCAGCCATCATGCTTGTGTCAGATCATTTAGCCATTAGCCGTTTTGCCTCTCTTGCCAGACTTCAATGTGTTCCACATGATCGCCGTGGGTCTGAGCAGCTCCATACTCGGCTGTCTGGTGACCCTACTGGTGTACACTTACTGTCAGAGATACCAGCAGCAGTCCCATGATGCCACAGTCATCCACCCCATCTCTGCCGCCCCACTCAACACCAGCATCACCAACCACATCAACAAACTGGACAAGTACGACTCAGTTGAAGCCATTAAGGTGGGTGTTATTCATTCATACGATCAGCAATATGTTATTCATATGGGAAATGGATAATGGATTTAGTATGTGGTCTGTGTGTGAATGTGTACGATGTGTCTTGTGTCTAAATCAGTTCATACATTCATACACTGCTTTCTCATAAGTGCAGTTTTGATTCAGTTTGTATACTCAGTGTTTGTGTGAGATTGTCTCAAATGAAATCAGAAACCAATATACAGCTCATGTCAGTACATTTCTGAGAATGTTATTATAGAGTTACTTTAACCCTGAAAAATGAACTTTTCTCTTAAATGTAGTTTTTTATTACGTAATGCTTTAAAGTTATGCAGTGCACTTTGAGATTTAGGCACATGGATCATTTTTTCATAAGCACAGCGAAAATAAAGCACGCCATAATTTTCACATTTAGTCAGAAGGACAGTTAAGGCTTCATTAGACTTGAATGCACAAGACTCATGACTAATTACGGAAAGTGCTTCTCAGTTATTGCTTGTTTAAACACTTTTGTGAAGTTGCATATTTCATCAGCTGGATGTATTGCACTAGAATAGCATCACTTGCACAACATCCCAGCTGAAGGGTAATGTAGCAAATGACTCTTTGTTTTACTGTCCTGAGACTGTACAAGTTCACTCGCCTGGCTTTCTACTGATGACAAGAATGAATGGAACTTCAAGGCTACATAGTATTATTGCCATGCACAACTTATTTGTCATATTGTTTTTCTCTTCTTCTGAATGCTGTCAGTTTGTTACTGTAAGTATGGAATATATTTTCCCATACAGGATCCTTAAAGTCAACATGACATCAAATTGACCATTTACTTTCTTAATATGCATTCCTGTGATTTGTCAATGTTATTCTAAAGAAAACGTCTTCGTAATATTTCATCAAAGTTATTTGAAAAGAATACGTAAATGGCTGATGTCACCATGTTAAAAGGGAAAATAATGTTAATTTTAATAGCCAAAGAGCCTTGTGTCATTCCAAGCCTATACTGTATTTTTTTAATAAAACAGAAATTACTGGAGTGTGTTTTACAAGAAAATACTATTTCAGTCTTTCTACTTCAAATTTTTGTTTAATTTAATGTGTTTCTTTGTAAATATTTATGGAATTTACTAGCAATTTTTGAGTGACTTTCTTTCATCTTCAGAGCACATATTAAGATATTTTTAATATTAAATTTTTGTTCATCCATTGAAAGTCCACATAACCAGAACATTTGTGCATCAAAAAGTTACACAAAAAGAAATCCATATAAAATAAGTGGTTTAATTCATGTCTTCTGATATAATGGATTATGTAATCATATGGATTGCATGTATGATGTCATTTTGTATTTTTTTGATGCAAAAAAGTTTTGGTTGTGTGGATGGATTAAAATGATACCAGAAATTAAAAACATATTTTTATTTATGTTTCCAAAATAAACAAAAGTTCGGGTTTGGAGCAACATGATGGTGAATAAGTTCAAATAAAATTTTGATTTTGGGGTAAATTGTCTGTTTTGTGTAATCAAAGTTACTACAGTTATAACTATTATAAATGTATTATGAATCATGATGCGATTAAGAGTGAACTTGACATTAAACCTCGACATCCCAGTCAAAACCTCTCCTTAAAGGGTTAGTTCACCCAAAAATGAAAATTAGGCTGCGTTTTACTCACCCCCGAGGCATCCTAGGTGTATATGACTTTCTTCTTTCAGACGAATCCAGTCGAAGTTATATAAAAAATTGTCTTTGATCTTTCAAGCTCTATCATTGCGGGTGTTGCATTGCTTCAGTCCAAAATAAGTTAAATAAAAAGCGGCCATCCATTAAAAAAAAAAGTGTCTGACAGGGCTCCGGGGTGTGAACAAAGGCCTCCTGTAGCGAATCGATGCGTTTAGGCCTTTGTTCACCCCCCGGAGCCGTGTGAGACACTTTTTTTATGCATGGGCGCTTTTTATTTAACTTCTTTCGCACTGAAGCAATGCAACACCCGCTGACTGCAATGATAGAGCTTGAAAGATCAAAGACAATTTTTAATAGAACTCCGACTGGATTCGTCTTAAAGAAGAAAGTCATATACACCTAGGATGCCTGGGGGGTGAGTAAAACGCAGCCTAATTTAAATTTTTGGGTGAACTAACCCTTAAAGTTAGTTTCCACAAAAGTGGGAGTTTTGGTTTTTTAGAAGATAAATAGACCACCACAATTGACTATAAACTCCATTATTGTATGAAATAACCTGATGGATGAAAGCTTTTTTTCTTTTTTGAAGTCTGTCATTATGGAAGTAAAATTGGTTTGCGAGGGCCGTTTCATGTTGACTTTAATGACAGCTTCACAAACAGACCAAAACCGACAGCGTAGGCCTTCTTTCCGTCTCCTGCTGCCCTGAGGATGATTGTGCTCCATTCCTCTTTTCAGCCTGACGTTTCCGTTCTCTTGCCTTTGGACGAGCACCACATTTGCCAGCCTTTGTCTTCTAACACTGGTGTAGCGCGAGGCCTGGAGATTTTCTACTAACTCTTGACCGGCATTACCATCCTCTCCTCTGACTCTCAGACCTCTCGCGAATCCCCTGTCCTTCCCCTGACCCTCGTGTACGTGGCAGGTGTGCTCGCCCATTCCTTCTGTCTGCATATGCCACCAGCATTTCCCATCATCCCACAAAGCAGATACTCAGGCTTGTGAGAAGGCAGTGTAATTCTGGTGTCGTGTCGTGATTATGGCTGTCTACTACCATTTTGTTGCATGCATTCTCCCCCCCGTCTCTTTTATTCTCTACCTTGTAAATCGGATTAATCTTTTCTTCTGAATTATTATTTTGCTTGCTTGTTACTGCCACCCCACTGAGCTCGGTATTGGCTTACAGCTTTGTTACATTGTTCTTTCTAATTATGTTGAAGTCTGAATAAATACTCTTTTTTAATTAAAAAAAAAAAAAAAGCATATTTATATTTTATTTTGAACTTTTTTAATATTGATGAACCTTGACAACCTAAATCATTCATCAAAAAAAAAACACATAGAATAAGCTCTTATTTAATTTGTATATTTCTATTTTATTTTTAACTTATATTATTATATTATACTAATATTTATGAACCTTGTCTTTAAATGTTTTATGCTTATATTTTAAATGTTTATTAAAATAAAAATAAAAAAAATAAAAATCGCATTTTAAATATTAAAACAGGGTTCATAAAAAGAAGATTTTTTTAAGGACTGAATAAACATCTTATTTATTTTAATAAACATTTTATAATTAATTATTTTTATACTTTTTGTATAAATTGGCTGATACAGAGGTAGTGTAACCATGTTGAGCATATGGGTGGCAGAAACAACTAAAAATACATTTCTGAGTTTGTATGAAAAGCTTTGTTTACTTAGTCATTTCCATCTGTCTTGATGCTGTGGTGTTTTGACTGCTCTTTTTTTATTATTCTGTGAATGATACTAACTTTTCTAGCCGATTTTTTTAAAGTTAGTAATGTATAGTCAGCCAAGTGAATCAGTCTTTTGTTAAACCCTCTTCATGGTTTGGCCATCATTCAGTCTCAAAGCAAGATTTTTGTTCAGTGATTTGTGATTTGATTTCTTTTTTTTTTGCCTAGATCCACATCCTCAATACAGTCTGACTTTTCATCCATGCAAACAAAATCAAGTATTTTCCATTTCTGTTCTCTTATCTCTGTAACTGAAAACATTTTTCTCTCGTCTGCAGGCTTTCAATAAGAATAACTTGATCCTGGAGGAAAGAAATAAGTATTTCAACCCTCAGCTAGCAGGAAAAACATATACCAACGCATACTTCACTGACGTCAACACTTATGACGACTTTTAAAAATGGATCTGTGATTCCAATCATCTTCACCACATTAACTTCAGCACCTAGTGATTTTATTTTTTTGCCTCTTTTTCTCCGTGGGTTACCCGGATAATTAAAAAAGACATTTTACGTGGGACCATTTTACCATCAAATGCCAATAAAGCTGTACAGAACCATTCTCACAGTTAACAAGGACATCATGCTCTCCAGTTGTGCGGACATCGTTAAATGAAATTGAACTATGGTGGACAAATAAAGCAGGCGATTTGATTCAACCGAGATGCTGATAAACTCTCGCCGCAGAGATGGCACATGGATGCTTTGCATGATCTCATCTGATGTGTTTTGCTTTCATTTATTTGCATGGTTGGTCGCATTCCAGTGTTAGTGGGCGGGGCCTGTGTCCTAAATGGGTGGAGTTTCCTGTGCCGAATCAGAAGCCCCTGTGCCTCACTGAGGACCAACGGTGGTCTCCAGTTCATCTGCCTGCCCTATCACTAGGTTTTGCCGCAACAGACAAACACAATCCATATGTAGATACCACAGTCTCTGAAAAATGTGTTCATGTATCTTTCAATATGGGGCACTTGTTAGTCGAACTCTTAGTGGTGGGAATCTGTGTTTTTGTTGTAAAATACACTTTTCATGACACATATGTCAGTGTAGCATTTATAGATGAGTCTATTCTGAAAAAGAAGTGTTTGTTTGTTTCAAAGTAACCCTGTTTAGTCATCAAAACATGACTTGTCATATTAACATTCGTCTTTATGTGGTGTAAGGTCTGCAAAAAAGAGAGAATGTGAAACGCTACAGGACCTTTTTATGTAAAACATTGATCATTTGAATATTATCGACATGTTTCTATTTGTTTAGTTGTTTAATAGTTCAAAATTTCATGAGAAAACAAGTATTATCTGTAAAAACAAACTGCTTTCTAGCACAAAGAACTGCTTTTTCAGCTTTTATTTTCTTTCATTTTCAAATATTTGAATGAATTTACTTAACCATAAACTTAACCATTCATCCATTATGGAGAGGTGCTTGGGAATCCACTTTTTCAATTTCTACTAATTCTTTTCTACTTGTAAAACTTTGTTTGCTTGTTTTATGTGCATAAATTAAAATTGCTTCATATACCTCACTGTGTTCAATCTATGAAATGTGACATGCCGAGTTGTTGCTTGAATTCACTTAGTCAGTGCAGGTTCAATGGAAAAACAGCCTGTGCAGACATTTCTGTAAAATATTACATTGCTTCTTACATGTTTTGCCATACTATCAAAGTGAAATGTTCAGTGAGTGGTGGCTGCTAACAGCGCGTTCAGTTTTATGCGAAATCGTTAACTGGACTACTATTACTGCAGTTTGGAGATTAAAGCGACTATATCTACGATTTTTTTTTCTATATTAAAATATCAGTTTTAAAATCATTCTTATGGTACACTAACTTCTAATAATTCGGATGGTTTCTCCCAGGTAGCCAAAACGATTTGGCCCGATAATGGACTCCTTCCAGTTTTGATATAAAACCAGAGCTTTGAATTTGTTTTTCCACAAAATGACATTGTTACCTTAAAATCCTTAAGATGGCATCTACTTCCAACTAAACATATTTTAAATACATAAATATATACTTTACAGTGTCCTTGTTAAGTCTACATGACACCACTACATGTCAACTAAACATGTCACCTTTACAAAGATTAAGGGTTTGGCCTTTACACCATTTCTTTTCGTAGGCCCTACCACTTGAAAGGAGTGGATTGTTTCACGCCGCCAACAACAAATGCATGTGTACAGCCATCCACTGTAATTATGACAGTGAATTACACTCACTTAACTGTAGGGGGCTTCAAAGTTGTAAAAATACACAAAACTAGTTGTTTTAAATGTCCGGTGAGTGGCGCTAAAATGTTAATGATCCATCGCGTTTGAAATGAACGTACTAAATTTAAGGATAATGAGCAAAATCAAATGTAAGAACCATTTTGGTGAAGTAACCAAGCCATTTTACCTCATCTGTGAGGCTTTGAGCTCTTTCATGACTAGTGTTTCTCTGCATTGCAAGGGTAGCGCGCTACCAGGTGAGTAAGTTTTAATGCGTCAGAAAAGCCACAGGCTAATTTGATTATTTGACGCAAACATCAAAATGTGTATTTTGTGTACTGCAGTGTTTGTGCAAGGAAATATAATTGATTCTGTCGTTGGTTATACTTTATGCCGAAATGAATACAGGTTGTTGGTGTTTTTTACTGCAACCAGCTGGAAACTGCAGTGATTTTACACATATGTACGTTATTTAAATTTTTGCAAAACTAGACACATTTTCCAATCAGACAGTGTTGCATTTACGTGGTTTTTGTGGGTCTTAAAAAGTCTTAATTTGCCCTTCCACTATTTAAGGCCTTAAAGTCTTAAATATGAGCAAGTCATTAAATGTTGTATGCACTGCAAAAAAGAAAAGAAAAAGAATGTCTTGCTCAGCATTTTTGTTTTCCAATATAAACGTCTCTACACCCTTAAATCAGGATTTACGCAAAATGAAAATGTAAAATGCGTTATACATAAAACAAGAACAAATATCTTCCCATGCGGAATGAAAACAACTTTTTCTTTTGAATTAAGATGATTTTTAGCACCCTTATTTAGAAACCCTTATTTAGTGGGCAATAGTCGCCTTTCCTGAGAAGACCTTTCTGTCAGCTTTTTTTTTTTTTTTATCCTGTGTGAGAAGGTAATTGAGTGTCATAGATCCACTCGTACATGCTTGTATCTGAACTGGAGGTGTTGAAATCATAGGTTCCCGGTTCTGAGGATTAATCACAGTTTACTTTGACTCATGATCAGGGTTGTGAGGCTCACTAGTCTGGTCCTGCATGCTCAGATGGTGTTTGGGTAAGTATAGGTGCTATTCATTTGTTAAAATGGCATGCCTGATCTGATCTGCTTCATTTATGACTTTTTCTAATCCGTAAACATGGTCTGCAGTGACTAATGTGGCATACGGTGCTCTCTTTGACCCAACACTCACCTCCAATTGACTTGCTTGATGTACTGAACCACCTGGTTCAACAAACAACCACCCACATGCATACACACATCCATGACTTAACTCTTTGTAAAGATGCTAGTTGTATTACTAGAAATTATGTCAGAGTTATATTTTTAAAGTGAACTGTCCCTTTAACATAAGTTGTTACTGTCACATTCTTCAGACAGGCTGAGTTTTCTGCTGCTGTTAAGAACATGTGCTGACTCGATGTAGAGCTTATTTTTCCATCAGACTTCACCGTTTCTTTCTAAAACACAATCAAATTTTAAAAATAATATTTATGTCATCACATATGTCTTAAGTTCATGTTTCCTGCTCTGGGGTTCGTTGATGAGAGTAAAAATATTAAATTTAAATCAAAAATGAAAAACAAAACATATTGAAAAGATTAAATATTTTATTTGTTTACCGGCATGTCATGTGACCATTAACATTATCAGAGAACTGTTAACATCCAAATGTTTTCTTAAATTATTAAAATATTGAGTTCAGGGGATACTTCAAGTAAATATTTTAAAGGTCCCATATTGTCAAAACTGAAATTTCCTGGCTTTTTTCATGATAACTGAGGTCTAGGTGCTATTTAACTACCATATAAGTTTCAAAACAGTCAGTCCACAGTAACATTCACACAGCCCGCATAAAGTAGCTGTGATTTTTCCGTAAAAAGTTGACGTCAGAACTACACAGTCACCGCCTTCAGTCACCACCCCAAGCACCACCCACAGTACCACTCTCCTTTCGCCAAACCCCCAGACAACATCGCGTCCATTCTTATTGCTGAGCAGCAACAACACGGAAACATGTCGAAAAGGTTAACTTTAACCACGAAACCAGATCGGCCAACCTGTAACGTTACACTCTCACTCAAAGGATGGACGATCTGACAGGATTGTTACTATGAGGTGGATCACATCTAACGTGTATAGTAAAGACGAACTCACCGTGTCTATCTAGTCATAATGATGATGTATATACATTTCAATTTCAGCAGGCAACTATTTTTACAGCTACATTATTGTTCCAGCCACAATTAATCACAACAATGTATATACAATTACAAATGATTATATATAAATTGTCAGTTTGTTGTTTTATACACATGCACACAGACATTATTTTATACACGACATAATCGTGAACCGCAAATATATATTCTTAAGGACATCAAAACCTAAAATAAAACTCCAGAAAGGTGTAAAATATGGGACCTTTAAGTAAAAGGGGTGCAACTGACAAAAAATTTAATGTAGCCTAGAATGTACAGTTATTGATAATTCCTATGGAGCGTTTTTATATTTTATCATATGTCATATTAAATATACAGTTAAAAAATAAGTGCACAGTGTACTGTGTTAATATGAAGTATTTTTTTACAGGTGGGTTTTTAATTATGAACTGTATTGTGTTGTATTTTAAGGTTAAAATACATTATATTAAAATATTTAACATTTCCATAAACCTAACGGAAAATGTACTAGTAATGTTTTTCTTTTTTTGCCAGGAAATTATTATTATTATTATTTACAGTATGAAACTCAAAACTTTTATCAGAAGAAGATAACTAATAAACTAATAATATGTGTTATTTTCCCATATTTTTACAGGTTTTTTTTTTTTTGTTTGTTTTTTTTTTACAAAAAAAGCTACTTTCTTTATGGAAGGTGAATTTTTTTAATTTTCATTGGAGGGAAAAAACAAACATCAGCTTAAAAAAATCAGTAAGTAGAAGCTGATGAATTCTATGATGCTTTGTTGCATTAGTATGTCTGACTTTTTAATAATTCTGTTTGATCAAATTATAAATTTTTGATGATTAAAAAAATATCAAAATGAACTTAAAACCCTCATGTGTCTAGCATGAACTCATGTTTTAAAATGCTGTTTAAGTTTGCTACCATTGTGTAAATAACAAAGTTATAAAAATAACATTTTCTGATCTTGACCAGAGCATATTTATAACCATTTTAGAGAAATATTATATTCAATAAAATGTATGTATGTATACATATAGACACAATACAGAGCTGCAGCTTTGAGTCTTGATTTTTTCAGAAACACTTGGAAAAAAGACTGTTGAATATTAAAAGACATTATTAACATTGAACTTGTTACTGCCTAAGCAGTAATCAAATCAAAATCTGATTTGAATGCATTGAGCGGCTGTGGAAATCAATGCTGGTGCTCAGCTAAAAGCAGCGTAGCCTGTGGGGGAATCATTACGTTCAGATATGGACACTGCTTCAGTCAATGCAGAGTCAGGCTTTACTGCTCAGCCTTATTAGTGCTAAAGCATATCACATTACAAAAGCAAATCACCGAATAATATAGATACAGCTCACAAAAATATACCTCATATTTAAACCTGGTTGTGCATTAGTTGGCTTTTCTGTTGATTATCCTTCAATAATAACTGCTGGCATCAGGGGCAATTTTGGAAATAAAAAGCAATCATATTGCTTGTATTTTGGAAGGTTATGACTGTTGTTCGTTCTTGCAAAATTTATTATGATGATTTTCCTCTTTTTATTCTTTGTGTTATTTTTTCTTAGTTTTCCTTCCCCTATTAGAATATGGTATTGTATGTGTCTCTGTGTATAAATGCATTTATTTATTCATTTTGAAAAAGGGAATGCATTTTGACATACACAAAATAATCATCAATCACAAGTGTAAACAATGCAGTAACCTGTAAAACAGTGAACAGTAAAGCAGTATTTCACATTATTTATTTATGCTGCAATGCATGCTGGGAAAGCATAGTCCTCGTCACTGGCTGGTATATTTAATAAACCAAAAATATACAACTCCTAAACAATGTAAGTTTGCTATATATCGAGCCTGTTTGTAATTATTTATTCATTTTTATTTTCATTTTGTTCATCTAAAAATTTTAAATGTTATTTAATATACCAAAAATATAAAACTCCTTAACAGTATATTTTTGCTACATATTGAGCATGTGCAATTTTGTATTTATTAATTTATTTAGCTTTTAATTTTGTTAATCTAAATATTAAGAATGTTATTTAATTTACCCAAGTTTTCTACATATTGATCATGTGTAAATTT